GTCCTGAAACCACACAGCCTTTACATCTGCTCATCTTTGTGTCTCTCCTTCATTTTCCCCCTCTCTTTGAAACTAGCTTCTTTTCCTGTTCAGTCATCATCCCTTGATTAAATATGGGACCTTGAGGGTATTATGCTAAGTGGAATAAGTCAGAGGGAGAAAGTCAAATACTGTATGATCTCACTCATAAGTGACATAAGACCTTCATAATCTGATGGCATTTTCCCTTCTCAGTCTCACTATCTCCTGCTTCCTCCCATTCACGCTATATGCCATTGTCCTTTACACAGTTATGTCTTGCTGTTCATTTTGACTGCTTTGAGGCAAACCCAGATGTCAAATATATTCATTAAAAACAAAAGCATTAAAGTACTATTTACCAAACACCTTCTGTGTGCAAGTGTTGGAGATATAAACTGAATAAGATATAATCTCCACATTAAAGGTGCTTACAGCCTAGTAGGGGAAATACACACAAATGGATAATTATAAAACAACATGCTAAACAAAATATGCAGAAGGTATTATGGGAGGACCATGAATGGGCACCAGAGGAGTAGAGAGGTAGTCAGGTAAGGCTTCCTGGAGGAGATGGTGGCCCAACCATGAAGGAGGGAAATGAGGGGCAGCTGATGGGCATATTCCAGGCAAGGGTGCCGGGCCTTCATTTCTAAAACCTAATGCCTTAGCCTTCCTATTCCAACCTTGAACAAAAGTGCCAAAGACCGGGCTCTGAGGATGTCTAGACTGTGCACGTGGGAAGAGGAGTCATCATGGAAATGATGGAAGATAGGTGACCACAAGAGGACATATAATATGGAGAAAATCATAGCAGTCTAGAAGGCTCTAGAAACACAGGAGGAGCCTCCTAAAGGCCCCACAAGAGACTCCCATGCACATGAAGAGGGAAGATTGGAGGGAAGAGAGATGGAGCGGGTGGGCTTCTCAGCCCAAGCCATTGATGTGGCAGAGGTCATGTTGTGGGTAATATTGGATCTGGAATGACTTCTTTTTGTGAAGTTGGCATACATTTTATAAATTATGACTTTAGAGCCTTTTATATGAATCCCTGGTGATTAAAAAGCTGTTCATGCCTAGGAAGCATTCAGCCCTCTCCGTGGAGGAGTTTGATGTTGGTAGACAGCATATTCAGTAATGAGCTCACACATTAAATGAGCGGACTGTCCTTAGGGACATACATCAGGAAATAGGATTGTCGTGGCTTTGGGGTCAGGGCATGGAGGCCACAGGCTATTTACAGCTGGGAGCTTGAGTGACACTTGTCAAAATAGACTCCTCTCTTTATGATTTTTTCCCATAGACCCACAGATCTCCAGGGCTGCACAAAATGTATATCACCTGATTATTGCATTTATTCTAGATTTAAATTTCCTTAGAAAGGCAGCATAACCAAAATGTGTGAATTCTCCTCTATTATGATCAAAGCCTATTTTCTCGGATCTTCCTAGACTAGAATGTGGAAGGGGGAATATCTCCTGTGGGGCAAGTGAGGCCTCTTATTTATTTATTTGATAATAACTTGGAAGGGCAGAGAGATGGGTAAATATATTTGTTATTTATTTTTAACTTTTCAGTGTACTGTTTTGAATAGGCTATACATTTCCATGGTCAAAATCCAGAATATACAAAGAACCTAAAGTGAGGTCTCTCCCAGCCCTGTTCCCCGGGCTCCCTGTTCCCCTCTCCAGGACCACCAGTATTAGCAGTTCCTTGATAGCTCTCCAGAGATAGTCTATACAATACAAGCAAAAACACATGTTAGTGCATCAGATGGAGCCCTTTGGAGGCAGGAGAGGCAGGTGACATGCCCGAGGTCAAGGCACAACAAGGCCGCAGCAAGAGGGACCCTGTGTCTGTGACATGAGTGCCCTTTCTACTGGGAAGACAAAATTACTTGGGGTGTGCAGCATTGAAAGTGTTGTTTGTTAGCAGGTGGTGGTAACAAGCCCACTTGTTGCTTTCCAGGCCTCTTCTACCCAGGTTCTGAGATAAGCCACAAGCCAGTGGTGAAAAGACACTGACCTGGGGCTCGGGCCACCGGGCCTGAGTCTGGCTCTGTTGCCCCTCAGGGGGTCTCTGGCCAGGCTTCAGGTTCTTTGACTGCACAATCAGAATGTTACTCAGATGTTCTTTATGGTCACTTCCAGCTGAAAAACAAATTTCTGATAGGAAAATGAGTGGCTTGCGCTTAAAAACCTTTAAAACACTCTTTTGAATATTTACCTAGATATTTTTAGATATTTAACTAAAGCAAAATCTTATTGATATAGCCAAATTAAGAGCCAGCTGAAGAATTAGTATTCCAGTAACAGTTTTTGAAATTGAGCATCTTAGTGCATTTATTTGGTGATAAGCAGAGAGCAAGGTCTGCGTCTTTATGTCCCCAATGCCTGGGACATAGTATCCACTTGATTAATTAAAAATAATAGTCATAGCTACAACAACAATAACAATAGCAGCTAACATTTACTGAGTACTTACCACTTGCTTGGTACTTGACATTATCTCCATTGGGCCACGGAAAGCCCTAGGAGACATGCACTGTTATCCTCCCTGTATTCCAGGCCTGAGGAAACTAAAACAGAGATGAAGTCCCACAACTCATACCTTTGAGACCAGCACCTGACCCCAGACAGGCTTTCTCTTACCTGTGCAGTTTGCCTGGAGGAGAAATCAATGAATGATGATCTGAAGCAGGTATTTGAGAATAGGTGTCAATAATCGTAAAATACCACACTGTCTTCTGATTTCCAGAAAAAACTCCCTCTGACAGCTCTCGCTGAGAACATGCAAGAAGCATCGACTCAGCCAGAAGACTCTCTCCTGGGGTAAGAGTTGGCTGCTTTCTCAAAGAGAAGCAGGCGCCCTGTGGGTTGGTGGAAGTGGATGGCTGGGTGGTGTCCATGGCCCGTGTGTGACCAGAGGACCATGAGCATGACGGCACTGGCTCATCTGCCAGCAGAACGGCTCAGGCTCCGTGGAAGAAGTGGGGTCTAGGCCACTGGGATGCTGGAGAATCTTCGTTTTAGGAGGAGCCAGGATGGCTGACAGAAAGGGCTGCTAATGAAAACAGTTGATAGAGTCAATATTTATCCCCTCAGCTTGGCTGTAAAGAACTCCGTTCCTGCCCTGTTCCAGGTGTTGACTCAGATTTATAAACTCTAAGTCCCTTCGTGTCATTAAGAGTCCCATCCTTGCAGGCTGGTCACCATAATATCAATGGTATTTTCTCAAAATAGTGTATTTTCTGAATTATTTGGCTTTTTTTTTACAATGGAATATGATATATAAATAATTAAAAATCTAATAATAAAGCTGTTTTCACTATAAGAGGGAAGGTTTACCCTTCCTTCTACCTGCTTCTCCAGGAGGCCAGTGTCCTTTAATCCTGTCTGCTCTCCCCTGTGGTAACGTGGGCCCTGCTATCCAGCGGGGCATGGTCTTTGGACATTTTAGGCCATTTCCTGGCGTCTGCCATGCTGTATGTCCTAGGGTTCTCCCTTCGTTCTTTGAAGGATAATGGTTTCCTCCCACTCTTCCCCCTTCCTCTGTCCTGTCTGTGCTCCCGGACTTGGAGGCACTGGTCCTGAGAGGAGGGTGGCACGTGCCCGCATGCTGGCATCCCTGTTCCTACAACCTGGATGTGTTTCCGTGTCTATACTTCCTCACACCATTGCTGTCATCGTCAACACCCTTGTTGGAGAGTGCTGCTTTGTGTTCACACCGTTCTAGGTGCTTTGCATGTACTTACTCATTCATCCTCAGAACAAGCTGGAAGGTAGTGATACTGACACCCCATTTACAGATGAGAGCGTTGACAATCACAGAGGATAGTAAATGGCCCAAGACCACACAGCTGTAAATAGCAAAGCCTGTGTTCACACTCAGGCAGCTGGGCACCAGAGATCACGTCTTAACTACAGTTCCACGGCCACCTCCTGCCAGCACCACACACGTTTCTAATTTCAAAAGAATCCCGTACAGAGAGTGGGAGGGGCGAGAAGGAAAGGAGGGAGTGAAGGACACAGACAGAACTCATCCTTTGCAGGTGTGCTCTGTGTGACATTAACTCTGTGCTCACAGAAAATCAAATGGAAACACGAGTTCCATGTAACACGGCCCGTAAATGTTAGCCTGCCATCTCCTCTGCCCAGCAGGAAAGCAGCATTTACATTAACTCAGGAGGAAACACTGCCTGGCTGGACCTGCTAGCAGACATGAAACAATACATAAGGGACTTTACATGTGATTGTAAGGATTCTCAGGGTGCTTTTGCATACACTTGGTTTTCACCTGACGAGAACCTAATCCTTGAAGGAGTCGCGCCCTCACTGTTTACACACGTAACACACACACACACACACACACACACACACACGAGGTATACCTGAGACCATTGTTTTCATTTTAAAGCTCAAATCTGTGGACTCGGGTTTCAGGTGACGCCCTAAACTCATGACATTTTTAAGGCTCTGTTGTGTAGCACCCTGATGTGTTCCCATCGTAGAGAGAGCAGAAGGGGGGCAACATGGTAATCAGGAGCCTGACTTAATGAACACATGCTTGTTGTTGGGGCTTCTTGTGTTTAAAGGAAGATGCTGGAGATGTGTGGAGATGCTGAGAATCAGCTGGCTCTAGAACTCTCTCAGCATGAAGTCTTCATTGAGAAAGAGCTTGTGGACCCTCCGTATGGCATAGCAGGTGGGTGCTTTCACTGTGCGGTGTAGAAAAGCCGAGACTGATGTGGGCTGGGTGGTTCACTTGTGTCTAAAATTTTAACAGTAATCAGTGGCTGTGACATACGCTTCATTTTGGAAATAAGGAGCATAAGTAGGAGGTACAAAATCCTTTTCCTAAGAGAAAATAAATTGTAAATAAGTATTGCACTTTTAAATGTTAAGCTAAAAACCCCAAAGCTCGTCCCATTTGGCGTGTGTACGTTCTTTCTAGGTGGAGATTCCCAACATCAAAAACGTAGGAAACAGCTCGCTAAATTGGTGTTAGACTGGGATTTGGTCAGAGCCAGGTAAGGTAAAGCTGCAAGAATAACCAGTAATACAGTGTTATGTCACATCCCTAGCAACCATCCCCATCCCCAGCGTGGATGAGAGAAAGACCACTGAGTGGACTAATGGAAGTCATCACAGATTCACACACTTGACCCACAGACCGAGTCACAGCCTGCCACACCTGCTCTTAGGCCTCCTTCTCCCAGACGAGGCGGGGGGATGAGCTTAGAACATCCTGTTCTTAGTGCGCCAACAGTGAAAGGAGTTAGAAAAAAAGAAACCTAAGTAAGTGTTTTAAGGGGAGAGAGGATGGTGGGAGACAGTTCTGAGTGTTGTTGTTGGCATAGGGGAGCAGCTCCTGAGGGTCCCACCGTGTCGAAACCCCGTGACTTTATGATTACCCTTCACAATCAACAAATGCTGTGCTCCGAAGGGAGGAACTAAGTAAAACCAAGTAACTATCCCAGAGGGCTGCTGCCTAGCGGGTTGATGTGAGATGACCAGACCACAGTGGCTCGTGGCCAGGCCCCAACCTCAGCTGTCCTTGAGGGTGTTTGTATCTGTGACTTGTGTGGGTTTCTCCTCAGGCCGATGAGAGTTGGTGATGGGGAGGCAGCCACCATTGGCCTATTCCTTTCTCATACTTTGTCACGGGTTGACAAACTTTTCCTGTAAAGGGCTAGGGAGTAAATATTTTCAGCTTTGCAACCTACATTGTCCCTGTTGCAATGAATTAGCTCTGCTGTTGTAGCATAAAAATAGCCCTGGATCAAACATAAATGAATGAGCATGGCTGTGTTCCAATAAAACTTTATTCACAAAAACATGTGGCTTTGCTGCAGTCTTTTGAAGTAGATAGGATTATGTCTCGTTGGCAAATATATGGAGAGACAGCTATCATTTTCTGAGTTTCTACGTGTCAGATGCTTTTATCGCAGATTTAGAAAATCTGTAACAATACTGCCTTTCCTGTTTCTAAGATGCAGTTGAGTATCAGATGCACCTCTGATTTAATAACTGCTTTTTGGAGGGAAAAAAATAAACACCACTCTATTAAATGTATAAACCAATTGTTAAGACATGTCCTGATTTAAGAAATGTTGAGGTGATAAATGGTACATCCGGGAATTAACGTGTGAAAAATGATAATTGCCACCACTTACTGGACACTTGCCACATGCCAGGTATCGAGCTACGTACATGAGATGTCAGCTCATTTGATTCTCCCACCAATCCTTATTCTTTTGCTCATTCGTGTTTGCAACAGGTGTGGATTGGGTGCTTCCTGGTGCATTAGACTCTGTGCTGGATGCTAAATGCAGAGGCCCCTCAATGAGAGCTGGAGAGGGGACAGGTTAGCAGGTTATGTAATGTCCCTACTTTTGAGAGGAGGCTTGATTTACAGATAAGGGAGGAACCTGCACATAGTGTCTCTATGACTTGCTTCGTGCCTTAGAGATAATAAATGGCAGAGCTGGGATGCTGACTGCAAAGTCCACCGTCTCCTTGTCATGTGTACACGTGAGATTAGAATGCTGTGGGCCAGGACCAAGGAGTGGAGGCCACCCTGAGGTCGAGTTTTACCGAAGATCAGGAGGAATGTTCTAATGGTTAATTAAAGACCGCCGTGAATGCTCCCTCACTGCACTTGGTTGAGCAGTGTTATAGATGCTTATCTGCCAGGAATTTTATCTGCAATACACGTATCCCATAGGAGATTTCAACACTGATTTTTGATCCTGCACTCATGGTCTTGTTCACTTGACTAATCAAAGTAGGTATTGGAGAATCTGAAACAGTTGAATATTTCTTTTTTACTTTTAGTTATTCCTGTTGTTTTTCCCTGGAGGAAAATAATCACTAACATTAAGTGAGAATCCATTATACATCACACTTTATATGCAAACACACATGCATACATATATATTTTTCTCTCCTTGGCTCATTATGACAGTTCTACAAGGCAGATCATGTTTGTTATCTTACTTTTACAGATGAGGCATCTGAGGCGCAGAGGTTAAGTCATGGCCCAAGGTGACACAGCTAGTGAAGGTAGAACAGAGCTTCAAACTTGAGCATGTCAGACTCCGAAGTCCAGGCTCTGTCCACTGCATAGCATTGCCAGTTTTGCTTCGGCTGATTGCCGACCTTGCTGTGGAGGAGTGCGTCACATCAGGAATGTGAGAGAGGCAGAGCATAGCGTTTGGGGGCAGTGCAGCACCTGGGAAGCTGGATAAGTTGCTAATGTGGGTTTTCATTCTGCATCTATATAATATCCATATTTCAAGTTTTAGAAGTTTCCGCAATAGCAGGCATATCCATATTCAAAGAGAAGGTCAAAACACACTTGAAAACCAAATAGAAATTGTTTTAGGTTATTACCCCCCTTACATCCCCCTACTATTGATATAAAATAATTATTTTCTTTTTTGGGAGGGTGTCCTTTTGACTTACTATAAAGGGAATGTAAATATTCCATATTATGTTTCACATTTGCTATAGATATTGTCTTTAGAATATTCTTACTAGTGTTATTAATTCTTACAGTGCACTTAAAAGCTATCTGCTGCTAGCTACAAGATTGAAGTTCTGGCTTTTACCTGCTGAAAGTAATCACAGGTCAGGATGGTTGCAGGAAGAGTCATAAGGGATCCTCAAGAGCAGGAACTGACTCCCAGTGGCTCAGGGAACATTCCAGATCGAAGCAAGAGAGCAAAGGGGTTTTCATGGCAAGGATTCCATGGTTGGACACCACAGGAGAGGGGTTTTTGGGATTGGTTTCCAGCAGTGGGGCCTGTGTGAGACAAGATGTGGGTGATTCTGCTCGGAGCAGACAGCTACTCCCAGCACTACGAGAGTCCTGTCATGTGGGAAGCCAGTGTCCCTTTTTGCCTGTTTCCATTCTTAGAGGATAAACTCCAGAGAAGCTGGCATCCTAGGGACTAATACTCATCCCAGGTAGACTCAGTTTTGGGGAGAGTCTGTCTCCATTAGGTCCTTGACTCCACAAGGTTGAGTCTGTGCAGCTAGTTCTCAGATACTGGCTACCCCTGTGTTTTGCAGGTGGAACCAGGCTCACAAATCTTCAGGAACCAACTCTCAGGGGCTTCCGTCAAAAAGAGATACCCTAAAGGAAGAGACAGGTGAAGCTGGGAATAAAATAGAACACTGCAAGGTAGGAGAATTTCCTAATAAATAATGCACTTACATCAATCTTTTGGTTTTTACAAATGATGGCTGAAAGGTCAAATGTTGCAAATTATTTAATGTTTCACATAATTTCTATCAGAATACTCTGAATGATATTAAAGGTGGTTTTTATTTTCTTATTCCTGCTTTATTTTCCAAGATGCTACAGTACTTCATAATCAGAATAAGACATTATTTTCAAAATACAAATAGGGTAATTCTTGAAACTTAACAAAAATGTCTAAGCTTATTTGAAGTAAATAGGTGAAAAAAAGGACAGAAAACAACAGCAAAACATATAAATTTACAGCAATTAAAACAATGCACAGTAGACACAAAAAAAGATCTGATTTTCTAGAACGAATGCTATTATGTTTCAAGATTGAATATATAGTAAAGGAGTCAACCATATTTTAATAGGGAAGGGAAGGATTATTTTGTAAGTGTTGCTAGGACAATTGGTTTGTAATTTGGAAGAAATACAACTTTTTATCTCATAAATTAAATTCCAGAATAGATGGTTAAGCGATCTCCTTCTCTGTGCATCTCCCTATGAAGATAAATGTTTATTCCAAATGTTATTTGAGGTAGAAAAGAAACAGGTCTCTGATGAGTCTTAGGATCATCGACTGAGATTTCTCCTCCTGTTATTATTCATCATTTTAAAGAAAGTGAAATCTGCTTGAGACTGTTGTCCTTCTCACCTGGATGAGTTCTCTTCAGACCCCCATGCTGGAGCAGGTGAGCTCTGAGGGCTTGTCTTCAGGTGGTGGGCAAGTCCTAGCTCAGACAGATCATCAGTTCAAAATCCAATTTTAATTTTAACTGAAACGGTCTCCTTATAGTTTAAGTGACAAAAAAAATGAAAATATTTTCTATATGTATATAGACACACACCCACATACACATGCACCTGTATCATTTCTATTCCTGTTTTTTTGTTTCCTGATGATTAAGTAAAAGTAAAGGTAGCATATAAACCAAATGTCTGGAGACATGCTGGTATTTCTTCCCTTCTTTCACTCCCAAACTCTAGATCTGCCTGGAGAAATGATGTCCATTAAGCAGATGACTTTGAAGCTCATTTTATTTTCTGTTGATCTCTCAATATGTTATGCAAGGGATGGAAATTGTTTTATGAGCATTTCATTCTCTAACCTCTCCCGCCAAGTCATGATTTGTTCTGTGTATCTTGGAAGATTGTAATTGAGGTCTGTTTCCTTTGTAAAATAATATGTCCTGAGATTCCCAGCCTCTTCCCTATTCAGCTGCAAAGAGAGTGTTAATAATTTCAGGTGCTTTAAAGTCCTATTTACGGGAACGGCTGGAACCTTTGATAATTTTTCATCTGTATGAAGAATGGACAGAGGAGAAGTCAAGATGGCAGCGTAAGCAGGCTCTGAACTCACCTCCTCCCGCAGACACAGCCAATTTACAACTACTCGTGGAAAAATTACCCCTGAGACAGAACTGAAAACTGGATAAGAGGAACTCCTGCAACAAACGACAAT